GGGGACGGAGGGGACCGGGAGACTGAAGAGGTGGCGAGCATCACTCATCGCTGCTTCTTGCGCTGCAGTGCCTCTACAAACTTCTGTGTCAGTCCCTTGGGGTCTGATACCGGCTGCAGGGGGGGGGAGTGAGGGGAGAGAGAGGGGGGACGGGACGGAGGGGACCGGGAGACTGAAGAGGTGGCGAGCATCACTCATTGCTGCTTCTTGCGCTGCAGTACCTCTACAAACTTCAGTGTCAGACCCTTGGGTTCTGATACCGGCTGCAGGGGGGGAGGAGAGGGGGAGGTGGGGTGGGGAGGAGGAGGGACGCCACACGAACACAAATCAGTGATTGGGAAAATTCCATGGCTTGTGAAGAGGGAAAGAGAAGAAGAACGCACCATGCTGCCATGGTGTGAGAATGACTGACAAGGTGCGGCCAATGACGCACCAGGTGCGGTGCGGCGAAGGACGCACCAGGCTGCCGAAGCCGATGAAAACAGGGGGCGGGCCGGAGTCAAGCCATTGCTGGATGTGTGCGGGGGGCGAGTAGTGGTCCGCTAGGTTGAGAAAGCAGAAGCCCACCACGTCTATCAGATTGCCCCAGTCTGATTTGCACGAGTGGCAGGGAGAGGGGTTGTGCAAGGAGTGGCAGGGAGAGGGGTTGTGCAAGGAGTGGGTGACCGGTGGAATGAATAATCGTCCGCCACCGGAAATGAATGAAACAGAAGCCCACCAAGTCTACCAGTCTGGGTTGGGTTTAGACAGCAGGAGTGGAAGACGGAAAAGGCAGCAGGGCAGGTGGGTGTGAACGAACGAGTGAAACAGGTTGAGAAAGCAGAAGCGCACCACGTCTATCAGATTGCACAAGGTTGGGGTTCATTGGGGCACTGGGAAATTGGGATTGCAGAAGCGGCTCACCGTGGGGTTTGGGGGCGAGCGTGGGACTCACCGTGGGGTTTGGGGGCGAGCGTGGGACTCACCGTGGGGTTTGGGGGCGAGCGTGGGACTCACCATGGGGTTTGGGGGCGAGCGTGGGGCTCCAGATGTAGCTGAAGGGGATGCGCATCTTGGGGCGGTTGCGCAGAGGGATGGGCGGCAGCTTGAGCTTCTTGCGGAAACTGTTTATGAAGTCCCTCACGCCCAGCCACATGAGCCCCTCCACCACCACGTATGATAGCTGTGGGTGGGAGGGGATGAGGAAAGCAGGGAGAGAGAGAGGGGGGAAGTGGGAGAGGAAGAGAATGGAAGAGGTTGAGTGATGAAGTCTCGCACTTCCAGCCACATTTGCCCCTCCACCACCACGCCCAGCCATGTAAATCCCCAACCCCACCACGTAAGACAGCTGGGAATATGGTTGCAGCAAGGAGAGAAACATGGAAAGAGGGAGAGTGTGAATGGTTGGTCAATGAACGCAATTACTGCATGGATGTCTAGCAAGCGCACCTGATTTTCGTAGCCTGTGTAGGCGGGCATCTCGCCAGCCAGGGGATGCGGGTACTCTGTGGTCATGCTGCCAGCCAGCGCAGTCAGGAACCAAAAAGTACGGAACGGAATGGCATGAGGGCAGGAGGGGTGTGTGGGTGTGTGGGTTTGTGGGTTTCTGAGAAAGATTATGTGTCTGTGCATGCATGGGGAGAGCGTTGGGAAGAAAAATGATGGATGGCTGAAGGGTGACGCTTCTACTCCCTGGTATTATTGAGATACACGAACGGTTGCATGGCATGAGCAGCGTGTACCTCCAAGGCATGGTGAAGAACATGTGGAGCGGCACTTGCAGTGCTTCTGCCACTGTGGTGTGACCTGCATGCATGAACGCATGGGGCGGAATGGAGGCGCATGGGGCGCATGGGGCGCATGGGGCGCATGGGGCGCATGGGGTTGCACATGGGTTTGTGAGCGCATGGACTATGGTGGTGGGTGGGAGCGTTTTTATGTGTGGATGTGTGTAGAGTTGGATGTGCTACTGGAAAATGGATGCATGGAAGGAGAATTCGAAAAGTAGGCCACAATCACTTGGCAGTGTAAGCCCGTTGAACAGGGTAACAGGTCTCAGGTGCATGACAGCAAGCCGCTACCACCCTCCCCTCCTCCCTCCCAGAGCCTCCCAGCCAGCGTCAGCCAACCAGAGTCTCAGATACTGCAGCATACATCCCCTTCTCCGCCCTTCCCCTTGAGCCTCCCTCCCCTCCCCATCCCGCTCCCAGTGCATCTTTCCCCACGAGCGCTTTGCTTACCGTATACAGGAGGGTTGGCAATGATGGCGTCGGCACGAAAAGGAGCGCCATTGCTGGCGAGGTCGGGCTGGGTGCAGGCGGGCCAGGTGGAGAAGATGATTGACTTGAGCTGCTTGCGCTGCTGCAGCACCTCCGCTCGGCTGGACGGCAGGAAACCCTTGTTCTTCACCATGTCTGCGCCGGGGGGGGAGGGGGTGGGGAGGAGGAGGAGGGGAGGGGGCCGATGCGGGTTGGAAGAACGGGAAAGGCTGTTTTGAAACAAAAGAAAAGGGAGGATGGGGGGGGGTGATTGAGTGGCCTAGTAGAAGAAAAGGAAGGGGGGCTGGGTGCAGGCGAGCCAGGTGGAGAAGATGATTGACTTGAGCTGCCGCCGCTGTTGCAGCACCTCCTTGTGGCAGGACGGCAGAAAGCCCTTGTTCTTCACCATGTCTGCACGGGGGAGGGGGAGGGAAGGTGGGGATGGGAGAGAGAAGGGGGGTGGACGAGGCATGGCAGTGGAAGGGCGTGGATTGAATGACTCCCCAAGCCTTGTCCTCACATCACTCCCTTCTCTCACTTACTTGCCCTCACTTCCTTTCCCCCCACTTGCGCTCACCCCCGCCCCTCGGCGCACTCACATTCAGCGAGCACCTTGGGATCGCCGCCCAGGGGGTAGAACTCAAGCCCTCCCGCGATCACGAAGTCGCGGTAGTTGCTGTGCGACGCCAGCCGCACACGGTGCCCGTAGCTCTGCCATGGGGGGTCAGCGCGGATGGCGGAAATGCGGGGAGGAAGTGCGGGTAGGAAAGACATACGTGTTACGCTTTAATCTCTGATAGACACTCGCTCACTCTCTCGCCCACTCCCTCTGCCGCCAACCCTAACACCCCTCCACTCCATCGCGAAGCTGCCTGCCGATTACCCCTTCTCCTAACACTCCCCCCATCCCCTTCACCCAACCCTCTCCGCGCTCTTTCGTCCAGTGCGCCGCACCTTCAGTTTCTGACCAATGGCGATGAACGGTTGCACGTCCCCGCGGGTTCCCACGATCAGTATGCAGATGTTCAACTTCCCCACGCTCTCCGCCGCGCGCGGCGCAATAATCTCGCCCTCGCGCCCCGCCTGGTCCTGCGGCTGCGCGAACATGTGCAGAAACTCCTCCTGGAGTTCCCGAGGGAAGTTATCCGTGTGAATCTGCACCTTGTAGTCCTCCCCCACTAGCGTGTTCCGCTTCAGCTCGTTGTAAAATCTCGACGCAACGGCCGCGCGTTGCCGGGCCGTCAGATACGCGGACCGCCGCGTGTACGGCGACTTGGTACGTGGCAGATCCGTGGCGGCTCGTCTCATATTGGACGGGCCGTCTCTCATTTCCCCACCGTCCGACCCTTTTTCCCCGTCCAGGTTCTCGTGTCCGCTGCTCTGAATCATGCTGTCGCTAACCCTAGAAGACGTGCCGTCGTCATCCTCGATTTGGGACTGTTTCGCCATAATGGGTAACGAGTACACTCTAACGGTATCTGTGAACGAGGTCGTTGGATCGGATTGGTTGCTCGCCCGAGAGGTTTGCTCCCAGCCAGACGCGGAGCGCTCTCTGGCCGTGGCGTGACCCTTATCCGCAAGCGGTTGCGCTGGAAAGTGCGGGGGAATAGATACGCCTCCTTTGTTAGCGCGACTCGCTTCGTTAGGAGAAGGATCTTGAATCACAATGTGAGGCTCTGGCGGAAGATTGCTGGCATCAGTCGCGGAAACGGCATCATTCGCCGACGCTGAAGCTCCAATAGAGGCATCGTTAGTGGACGACGGTGGTCCTGGAATGTCAGTGGCGCTGTCCCGGTCAGTGACGGAAGGCTGTGTCATTTTGAGCCACAGACTGGCGTTGTGCCAGAAACGGCTTCTTAGCGACTCGAACCAACGTCGAGTGCCCTATAATCTGTGGCGTCGCAAATATTGAGGTTTTGATGGGATCGATCTCTTTACAGGAAAGTAGTACTTTTAACTAGTTGTAGCGGACTTCACAGTTGACGTGACGAGACATGGCCTCCCCAGCAATCCAAGGAAGGAAGCATCGACGCAACGAAACGTCGACGTGGGCCTGGCCTCCTTTGCCGGAACCAACCAGCACCGCCGTTTCTTGATTTAGGTGGTGCTGGTGTACTGTGGCGTCAAACCAGGCCTGGTTCGCATCAATGCTGTGCGTGTCCTAACCTAACAAGGAGTTCCTGGCGCATCGAAAATCTAGGAGCACACCCCGGAGCACGTCATCTTGCACGCACCGTGCGACATAAAAAATCGAGGGGCACAGCACGGCAAGGAATCTTTCACTGTGCTTGGTCGTGCCGTGCCCGTATCAGGTGGTTGGCTGCGCGGTGAAATATCTCGGTTACATCGATGGTAACAGCGAGTTGCGCAGGCTGGCAGCCACCACCAGCCACCTGCTCTTTACCCGTAGGTGCGAGCGAGCCAGCCATCCCACAACCCACACTGCAGGGATTCGCGCAGGCGCAGAGCTTCGTGTTCTTTCGTTCTTCACATTCCAATGAGTCAGATTCTTTAGTGGCAATAATAGACAATCAGGATGCATACACACCCCCAGTCAATATGAGGGTCTGCTGGACAACATACAGTATTTATTTAGCCCACAAGGGCCTTATGGGTTTCCTGCCCTTGCCAAACAACCGTAGGCCAAATGGTCAATAAACTTGCTGCAATACAATACAAACCGTTGTACCACCATGTACGTAATGCCGAACCAGCACGTTACAAAACAAACTGCCCACCGTGTATGATACAGACAGCGTTACATTATGGCATGAGGGATCCGAGTGTCTCCACGACCTGCACATTAACCCAAACAGTGAATAATTACCACTCTGATCTGAAAGTACACAGCCGGTGCAAGATCACACACTGCTTGAATCTAGTCTACGCCTGGAACAATTTCGTCCTCCCTTCACCCCTCCCCTCACCTGTTCCATTGAAGGTCTCTTGGACGGATTTGTCTGAGTGCACCGAAGAGCCAGCTCTGCCAACCCCTCCACCTGGGAAAAGGGGAGAGGAGGTGTTGGAAGGGGGGAACAACAAACAACATTACACGCTTTCCCTTGCTAACTTTATGCTGTGTGCTGGTGAAGCAGAGACTCCTAAAGGCACCAGTCAAACTTAGTGCCGCTAACAGGACAATGCTATGGAGCTGGCAGCAGGCAGCAACGCACCTCATGGGGGTCAAACTCCTCTGCCAGTCGCGGGTCCACCAGCGCGACCAGGTTGTCCCGCCCCACCCACAGCTTCTGCCTCGCCTGCCATTGGGAGCCATGGGGTAGAGGGGCGAAGTGGGGGGATTTGGAGGGGACAGTGGTTGGGGCCACGGGGAGGAGGTGAGGGGCAGAGGCGGGGAACGACCGGGGTAGAGGAGGGACAGCCCGGTGCGGCAGAGAGGCATGGGGCGGAGGAGGGACAGGGGGGAAGGCCGGGGGAAGGCATCTGGGAAAGCACGTGTGATAGGCAGGGAGACGCTCACCCATTCAACGAGCGAGGCTGGCATGCGGCGTGGATCGTGCGGGTGCTGCCCCGATATGATCTCAAACACCACCACTCCGAATGCAAACACGTCTGCTGCTTCCATGCTCCCCCGCCCCTTGCTGGCTGTAGCAGGGCTGGCTGTAGCGGCGGCAGTAGGGGATGAGTTGGCGAAGGGGCTGCGAGACTTGGGGGACGTGGAGGGGAGGAGCTCTGGGGCAGCATACCTGATGGGGGGTGGATGTGGGGGGAAAGATGGGGGAAGAGGGAAGGGGGAAAATTGGCAAGAGGGGAGAGACGTTGAGTAGGTGATTGACCAAGATGGGTAGGTGCGGAGGATTTAAGGTCGCGGCTTACGTAGCGCAGTGCATATTGAGTAGTGTTTGTGAAATCCCAACCATTTTCAGTTGGGGTTCTCGCCTGTACTGGAAGCCAAGTGCCTGCCTGCAACCGATTCCAGTTCTTTCCTATCAGAGGAGGGGAGAAGCATGTGGGTGGCGAGGCACACTCACGCATCAAGGTATATGTCTTCTGCACACCGCTCTTCTGTGCTCCCACTCCCATTCCTCCCACCACCAGCAGCACCACCACCAGCAGCAGCACCAGCACCAGAAGCTGCACCAGCGGCAGCACCAGCAGCGGCGGCGGCGACACAAGAAGGGGCATGCGGGGTGAAGTGGGGCATGCCAAAGTCGGAGAGCTTGGGCGACACATGGCGGTCCATGAGGACAGCTCGTGAGCTCACACGACCGTGCACGATGGGCGGGTGGCAGAAGGAGTGCAGATGCAGCAGCCCCTCAGCTACGCCCTCTACCACTCGTACTCGTACCTCCCATGGCAGGACCGGGACTGCTTCGTCTGCACCAAGGAAGGCGAGGGAAGAGAGAGTGAGTACATGCTACATGCAGCAGCCCTTCTGCCACGCCCTCCACCACTCTCACCCGCACCTCCCAGGTAAGACGGACTTAGCTGGAGGACGGAATGCGGGATGGGAGAGGAGTAGGGTGAGCCCAACACATGCACGCAGCCCGCCAGAAAGCCAAGTGCTGGGGGCCAAACCATGCAGCCGCAGCCAACTGCGTGGCACACGCACACTCACAGCCAGTGTGCAGGAGGTGCGAGGGCGAGGGGAAGGGAATGCAGCGAAAGGCGAGTGGGCCATACAGCGTAACTCATCACACATGCAGACTCATAGCTGGAAAGCAGGGGACTCACCATCGGTGTGCAGGAGGTGCGAGAGCGAGGGGAAGGGGATGTAGTTGAAGACCAGCACGCAGTAGTCCGGGCCGATGCTGCACCCCAGCATCGTCGTCAGGTCCGGATGATGCACCTTAGCTAGCGCCTTGGCGCCAGCAACGGTCTGGTTCACCCAAGCCTCCCCGCCACTCCCACTCTGCCGCACCACCATGACATCGCTCCCCGCGCCCAGCGTGCCCTGATACACCTCCCCCAGGTAGCTCCTCCGCATCCACCTCTTCCTGCTGAACCCCTTAGTCGCCTCAACCAGGTCGTAGTAGGAAAACTGGGATTCGTACAGTGGTGCGACTTCTAATCGCGAGTCCTCCGCGTATTCGTCCTCGCCTATATCCACTATCGAGACAGGCTTTCCGGGGACAGCACCAATGGAGGCAGAGATAGGCGTGGCGCCAGAAGCAGCAGAGAGCGCGGAAATAGTCGAAGAAGGGGCGGAGGAGGGGGAACGGGAGATGGAGAGAGCAGAGGAGAGGAGAGACGGGGCCACGTCGGTGCGGATCTCGTTTAGGAACCGGAGCACGGAGGCAGAATCGGGGCGCTTGCGCGTGTGCCGCGCCACGCACAGCACCGCGACACCTGCGAACCGCTTGATCGCGGCCTCGGGAACTCCGTGATCCATCCGAGGGTCCACAACGGCCGAGACATCCGAAGCGTTGATATGCCGAACCGCCCACTGGATGTTGATATACGATTTCCGCGACGCCTTTTTGGAGTCGTGGGATTCGGCAAGCTGCCCCGTGAGCAGCTCTAGCAGCACAACGCCGAAGGAGTAGACGTCGGTGGCGGCGGTGGCGCGCAGAGAGTGGAAGTAGTCGGGGTCCAGGTACCCCGCACTGTTGCGCACCCGCTTTGCCGTTGGGGCGGAGGGTAGGCCTTTGATTAGCCCAACACTCGTTAGCATGGCCTGGTGTTGGGGTACAGTGGGGTGGGGAGGGGGGGGTGGTGAGTGGGGAAAAGGGAGACGGGAGGGAGCATGTGAAGCTGTGGAAGTACCCTGCACTGTTGCGCACCCGCTTTGCCGTTGGGGCGGAGGGTAGGCCTTTGACTAAGCCTACACTCGTCAGCATGGCCTGGTGGTGGGGTACAGTGGGGTGCAGTGGGGTTGGGGAAAAGAGAGGGACAAGGGCGTGTGAGGCTGTGGAGGTTGTCCCGATCTAGGGGCCTCGCACTGCAGCATTCACCATGCGGCACAGCACAGGGCAGGAACCCAACAAGCAGCATTCAGCGTCACTCACCGCGGGCGATCCTGGCAGCAGCAGCACGTTGCTGGAGCAGACCTCGCGGTGCAGCAGCTGCGGTTGGCAGTCCCGGTGCATGTAAGCTAATGCCTCCGCCACGGCGATCGCCACGTCCAGGCGCTCCAGAAACGTCATTGCGCGCCCGCCGCCGTCATCCTCCCCGCCGCGCTCCTCGCGCTGCAGGCGCAGGCGCTCCGCGAGGGTGACGCCCTGGCGCATGGCGTAGATCAACAGCCGCTCGCGCCGGTCGTCGCACCACCCCAGCAGCTGGGCAATAGCCGGGTGGGACACGTCGCTCAGTCTGTCCACCTGAGGGAATGGGAGATGCGGAGGTGGGGGATGGGAGATGCGGAAGTGGGGGATGGGAGATGCGGAAGTGGGGGATGGGAGATGCGGAAGTGGGGGATGGGAGATGCGGAAGTGGGGGATGGGAGATGCGGAGGTGGGGGGTGGGGAAGGGATAGGCGGTCCGCGAGCGTGACGTCTTGGCGCATGGCGTAGACCAGCAGCCGCTCGCACCAATCGTCGCACGATCCGAGGAGCTGCGCGATCGCCGGATGGGGCATGTCGCTCAGACGCTCCACCTGGGAAGTTGCGGGATTGCGGGATTGCGGGATTGCGGGATTGCGGGATTGCGGGATTGCGGGATTGCGGGATTGCGGGATTGTGGGATTGCGGGATTGCGGAATTGCGGGATTGCGGGATTGCGGGATTGGGCAGGAATGGGGAGATGGCCGAGTGCGACACGTCAGGAACGTCGCTGCGCACAGCCTCCCGCCCCCTCCCGCCCCCCTCCCACTTCAGGCCCGTCACGCGCACTTTCCCCCCGGCTTTCTCCCCCCACTCTCCAGCTTCCGCCCCCCACTCGCGCACCCCTTTTAATTTTTCCCCGCCCTCCCCGCGCGCACACCTCTCGGCGGAACGCGCGGCCGTTCTCGGCGGAGGACGTTCCGCGCACGACGAGCCAGTCCTCCCCCTTGGGCCCCACACACGCGTACGCCTCGCCGAAATCCCCCGCGCCCACCTGCGCGCGCCAGCGTCACCACGAGGAGAGAGGGGAAAGAGGAGAGAGGGAGGAGGAAAGGCGAGGGGAGAGTTAGCGCGGAGAATGGTCAAGGTGAGCACGACAGGACACCTCAAGTGGCTGGTATTACGGAAGGCGGACGCATCTTGAGCGACCAACGTTATTTGAGTGACGGGCGCACCTTGAGCGACGCGTTGAAATCCGACGTGGCTTGCAGCACCGGCAGCAGCGCGAGCTTCTGCGCCTTGCGCTTCTCCGCGCATGCCGGTTTCCGCGGAGCGCACAGGCTCCACAAGATGATCCCCGCGATGAGCGCGAGGCACGCCGCCGCTGCCACTAGCGCTGCGAGCACCGGCACGCTCGCGAGCGGGCTGCTGCCTCCGCTGCTGCCTGGGAGCGAGGGAAGGGTCGGCGCATGCAGCGGGGATCCGGAGAAGCGGAGAGGAGCGGGAGCGGAGTGGGGGAGAAACGGAGAAGAGAGAGAGGGAAATTAGGAAGGAAGAAGAGTGAGGGCGAAACGATATGAGGCGCGAGTGCTGGAACGAAGGGCGACGCACGCCTGGATGATGCGGCACGGCGCCTCCACCGAACGGTCGCAACGGTTGCACGGTGATGGGTTGATACCGGTGAAGCTGATGCGTACCTAGGACTCATCGTGGTTCGAGTCGACTAAAAAAAGAAGCCGAGGCGTACCTAGGAAACGTCGCGGTATACTGGCCGTGGCGTGTAGTAGCGACCCGTAAGCACCCGCGCCCGCTGGTGTGTCACCTGCCGCATCGCCTGCGAGAAACGACGGTTTGGAACGGTAACGAAGAAATGACGGACAGGAGAGACGAGGGGACAGACGGGAAGGAAGAAGAAAGAGAGTCTCGCCCGTTTGACCCTTGATGCGTCGCTGGTCGCGCAGGGCGACAGCTGACGAATCAACTCGTAACTGCGCGTGTGACACAGAGAACTCGTCTACGGAGGCTCCTCGCTGACGCGTGTGACGCCAATCGATGCGCTGAAATCGTACGCTTTCGCATGTCAAAGGAACGGATGCTGCACGCCATTCGGAAACTCCTGGTTTTTGTTCCAAGCGCAGCAGACCCAAGGTTCGCGGAGTAACGGTGTACTATCTCGGGACTAACATTCGAGATCTTATCCAGCGCAATCCCGCGACGCGGCCGTCTTGTCGTCGCGGTGCTTCATCGGGTAGCCTTCTGTCTAACAAGCCGCTCAAGGAAGCGCCATCTCGCAAAGCAGACGTTTCGTTTATTGTCTGTAGCCGTACGATCGCGACAGCCTGATCGATTTAATGAATGCAGTATCGAATATAATCATTGCTACCGATCCGTGCTCGGTAATATTCCCGCTAACGGAGTTCTACGAAATCCTACGAAAGAGCGGTCAGGAAGGGCCATTCACTGCTTAGAACCGTACCGCTGTGGGCTGCCGTGAGAAGCAAAGCTTCCGACGCGACGAGGCAGACGAAAACAGGGAGAATGCTCGAGGAGATCAATCGACGGCGGGCGGCCATTCTCGCCCGTGGAACCCTCATCTGACTGCTGCTGTCATTCACCGACGGCCCCTCCTGCCACGAAACCCTAAGAAGCATCCAGACTATCGATTCATTGAAGAAGCTTCAAGTCTTGATTCATCAAGGAGAACAGCCTTGGAGGCAACTACAAGACTTGATTCATCAAGGAGAACAGCCTTGACTCGATCTAGCTCGCGGATGCAAGAGTACGGAAGAGCGATTTGAGAAAGTGGAAGGGCCGAAAGGCAAGCAGGATGTTCCAGGCGGGGCAGAGATGGATGGCTGACTCAAGTAAACGACATGAGGAAAAACCTGCGGGGATCGCACAGATGGCGCGAATTCCGTCGGTCAGGAGAATTCAAAAACTGTGAGGCTGGGCCTGGGACGAGATCTGGCAGCGACTGACGGCGACAGAGCGGTCATCTTCGACGATTGGATGCGACGGGACGGGATTGCTGGTCGTTGGTTGGTATCATGCTGTTGCGCGAAAGTGGCACTCCCCGCCAAACCTCTCGAGTCTTGACTGAGGGAGGAGTCCAGGGCCTCTGCTCCAGGGTCAGTGTTTCCCCCAGCCGCCAGAGGGATCCGCATCCTCATCTGGCGCCACACATTGCGGTCAATCAAGCTGGTCCCTTGTTCCTCTCAGATCGAAGCGCAGGTGACACAAATAGATGAATTGCTGTGACTGCCCTTACATTTCTGCACCTCCTTGTTACTGTATGCTGGTAGGCGAAACACAATATATCCAGCACCCATATCATTTTTCCACTCAAATGGGATTACAGTATATCAGGCATCAGATACATGACAGTCTAGCAGTTACAAACGGCACATGACCAATGGATTTTGCTGCATGTGGGCCATACCATCATCATAGGGAAACACCAACATGGTAAACAAATTACCATCTAGTTCATAGTTGCCATATCTATGATGGACCGCCGTTCATGCACATGCAGGAATACTTAGCAGTCATGAATGAGGTAATCCAGCTGGTGGTTTCAGAAATGGCTAAAAATCCATGATGGGTAGGAAGGAACTGCATCGTATCCACCAGTTCCTCAAATCCATTGAAATGGGCGGCTGTGCTTGAATGCACAGACCTGTGTGCACACACTCCACTTGGTGGATTCAATGCACAGACCAGTGCACTCCACTTGGTGGATCCAATGCACAGGTGAGTGCACTCCACTTGGCTGTATCCATTGAAATGGGCGGCTGTGCTTGAATGCACAGACCTGTGTGCACACACTCCACTTGGTGGATTCAATGCACAGACCAGTGCACTCCACTTGGTGGATCCAATGCACAGGTGAGTGCACTCCACTTGGCTGTGCCTGTGGCCACTTGTGTGCCTGTGTGCATCAGCCCTGTAGTCAGTCTGTTCCGATGCACAAGTGCTGTCATTGTTTCGGCTTGACGTTCAAGCCCTGGGCCAATGCTTATTATCTGTAACTAGCGTGCTCAAATGCACAAACATGTGGTTGGTGCGCCCTGACGCACAGACCCCGTGGTTAGTATTCTCGGTGCACATCCCTGTAATCCGTGTGCTCTGGTGCACAAGCGCTGAGATTAGCCCTGTGCTCAACCCTGTGCTCAACCCTGTGGTTAGCCCCGTGGTTAGCCCTGTGGTTGGCCCTGCCTGCATTATTAGGATAAGATACAAAATAGCACTGTGATCATCTCTGTGGTCATCCCTGTGGTTAGCCCTGTGGTTAGCCCTGTGGTTAGCCCTGTGGTTAGCCCTGTAGTTAGCCATGTGGTCATCCCTGTGGTTAGCCCTGTGGTTAGCCCTGTAATTAGCCCTGTGGTTAGCCCTGTGGTTAGCCCTGTGGTCATCCCTGTGGTTAGCCCTGTGGTCATCCCTGTGGTCATCCCTGTGGTCATCCCTGTGGTCATCCCTGTGGTTAGCCCTGTGGTTAGCCCTGTGGTCATCCCTGTGGTCAGCCCTGTGGTCAGCCCTGTGGTTAGCCCTGTCGTTAGCCCTGTGGTTGCTGAGGTGTGTGGGTCCCAGGGGGAAGCGGGTCGCACAAGGAGGTGGGTTGCAGGAGGGGAAATGCGGAGGGTCAATCCGGGATAGAGGGGGGAGGAGGGGGGGGGAGTAGGGACAGGGGAAAGGGGTGTGGGGGGAGTCCTATGCAGGGGGAGGTAAGGGAGTGGGACAGGGAGGAAAACATGAGGCGGGGGGGGGGGGGGGGGAGGGGAGGGAGGGGTGGTTGGGATTTATGGGGGTTGAGGGGGAGGGGGGGGGTACCGTACCTGAGGGGGTTGGTACCAGCCAAGGTCACCTATCTTATCATATCCTATCTGCTTCAGCTATACCATAGGTCTTCATCCTCCGTCCAAACGAATCGGCTTTGGCACTGGTTGTCCTGCAAGCAGACAAGAGGAGGAGGTTATGCTGACAAGATTTGAGCTTCTCAACACACAATGTAGAGAATGTACATGTACAAAATGTACATGTACACAATGGGGAGCAGAAGAGGAGGGCGAGGAAGCGAGAGTGGAAGGAGCATCACCAAGCTTTGAGGAGATGAGAGCAAGGAGGAGATGAGGAACCTACCAGGGAATGGGGGCTCAGATGATCCGCCCTTGCTTGTTGTCCGTTGCTGATATCGGTGCTGCTGCCATGCACGTGCTGTGCACGACAGTAGGATGAAAGGCACGATAGGAGGAGATAAAGAGGATAGAGAGAGGAGCAGCGATGATGTTCAAGAGGGAAAGCGAGAGGGATAATCTGAAACAGTGGTAAAACTAAGGCCAAGACATGCAGGAGTGGCAACAGCAAAGAAGCTAAGCCCAAGAGACTAGGGAAATATGAACAAGTTTAGGGAAGGAGGATGACAGAACAACAGGAAAACACAGATCTTACCACGCCTTGCTGCAACCTCTTGTCCTCCTCCGTACCCTCTTTTCCTCTGCTTGCATCGTCCTCTGCACCCCCTCCTCCTCTGCACCCTCTCCTCCCCTGCAGCCTCTCCTCCCCTGCAGCCTCTCCTCCCCTGCAGCCTCTCCTCCCCTGCAGCCTCTTCTCCTCTGCACCCTCTCCCAAAAGCCAAGACAAATAGCAGCAGCACCGCCCGCACACCATCAGCAGCAGCACCTGCCCGCAACATCACACCAAACTTATTCAACATCAGCACCTGCCAGCAGCACCTCCTCGCACCGCCCTCCCTCCTGCCAAAGCACCGGACGAGAGGGCGAGAGAGAAGAGAGCGGGAGAAAGGTACCCAATTTATTCCAGTAGGAGCAAGAAAGTAGTGAAATGAAAGAAAGGAGGCTGATAACAAAAACGAACGAGTAACAGAAACAAAAGACGAAGACGAAACGCACGTGGCACTGTGGCGCTGTGAAAGGGGATGTGATGGTAGCACACAGCACTAGGGCGCCGAGCTAGCAGGCTTATAAGGAAGGGACGCAGCATGATTATGAATGCATTCTACTCTAACCCCCTACGACTCTAGTATGAGCTCAAGCCGCCCCAGTGCCATGCGCTACCATCGCCAAACGCCGCTCATCTCTCACTCAACTTTTGATCTCTCCCATTTAAAAATGGGCTCATTTGTTTCGAGCACGCGGTGACGGAAGAATGCGGTACAAAAGTGGGCAATGATAAACACGAAGCAGAAGCGGTAAGGATGGCAAGGGCGAAGGGAGAGGGAACTTAGCCGTATGGGGGTGCTTGCAGGACAGTGGCGTCAGGCTTCCAGGAGGCTCGCACACCGCTGTGACTGCCTGCCGTGCGTCATCCCACCGCCCTCCCTCCCCGCACCACGCTGCCATAGCACCAGACGAGATGGGAAGGAGAGCAAGAAAACAGAGCAGGGGAAAGGAACCCAAGTAGTCAGTAGAAGCATGAAAGTAGTGAAATGCATGCAAGGAGGCAGAGATAACAAGAACGATGAGTAAAGGAAACGAAAGTTGAAGATACAAAGCACGTGGCACTGTGACACTCTGAAAGGGGAGGCGATGGTCGCACACAGCACTAGGGCGCTGAGCTAGCAGGCTTTTAAGGACGGGACGCAGCATGATTATGAATGCATTCTACTCTAACCCCCCACAACTCTAGTATGAGCTCAAGCCGCCCCAGTGCCATGCGCTACCATCGCCAAACGTTGCTCATCTCTCACTCAACTTTTGATCGCTCCCATTCGAAAATGGGCTCATTTGTTTCGAGCACGCGGTGACGGAAGAATGCGGTACAAAAGTGGGCAATGATAAACACGAAGCAGAAGCGGTAAGGATGGCAAGGGCGAAGGGAGAGGGAACTTAGCCATATGGGGGTGCTTGCATTGCAGGACGGTGGCGTCAGGGATTGCAGGAGGGAAGCACACCGCTGTGACTGCCTGCCGTGCGTCATCCCACCGCCCTCCCTCTCCTCGCACCATGCTGCCATACACCGGACGAGAGGGGTGGAGCAAAGGAGAGCAAGAGGACCGAGCGGGGGAAAGGAACCCAAGTAGTCAGTAGAAGCATGAAAGTAGTGAAATGCATGCAAGGAGGCAGATAACAAGAACGAACGAGAAACAGAAGCAAAGACTGAAGATAAAAAGCATGTGGCTCTGTTACATTGTGAAAGGGGAGGCGATGGTAGCACACTGCACTAGGGCGGCGAACTAGCTGGCAAGGGGGGACGAGGTAAGGAAGGGACGCGAGCGTGAGTGTGAGTGCATTCTAATCTATCCCCCTACGACTCTAGTGTGAGCTCAAGCCTTCCTAGTGCCATGCGCTACCATCGCCAATCGCCGCTCACCTCTCACTCATTTTTTTTTTTCGAAGCAAACACGTACAAAAAGGGGTGCTGATAAACATGAATCAGAACGGTAAAGATGACAAGGGGAAAAAGAGAGGAGACTTAGCTGTATGGGGGATTGCTTGGGAAGCGGCAGAAGCAGCGAGGTAGCAGCCCAGAAGCAGGATCCACCCTTCCCACTTCGCGACTCCGAATGAGCGTCACTCGTTTTGTTGGTGTGACTTCGGCCGCTATCGTATTCGCCTCT